GTGCCTGGCCCATAATCTACATTTTAAATTGGGCAGAAAAGATGTATTTTCTACAACAGGGAAAATTACAATTTAAACTAGATATTACATATGGAATTATTTTCATTTTCTTAGGTAAGATAACGGTATTGACATTAGGTAGGAGAATATCCTAGCTCTTAGGAGACAAAGATAATGATGAAGTGTTCAGGGATGAAGTATCATGATGTCTTCTGTAACTTCTTTTCTTTTTGTGGGGGTGGCAGGGGAAACAGGGTCTTGCTCTTTCACCCAGGTTTAGAGGGCAGTGGTGCAATCTACGCTTACTGCAGCCTCCGTCTTCTGGGCTTAAGTGATCCTCCCACCTCAGCCTCCTGAGTAGCTGTGGATACAAGCATGCACCGCCAAGCCCAGGTAATTTTTGTAGAGATGGGGTATCACCATGTTGCCCAGGCTGCTCTGCCTGTCAAGTGATCCACCTGCCTCAGCCTCCCAAAGGGCCGGGATTACAGGCATGAGCCACCATGCCCAGCCACTGTAACTTATTTTCAACAGTTCAGGACAGAAAATATATAGAATGTGAATGTGGCAAAATGCTAACTGGTGAATCTAGGCAAAGAGTATGTAGGTGTTTGTGATAATACTTTTCAAACTTTTAATTGTAACTAAATGAAAAGCAGGAATCTGCAAAACATTAAATTAAAAATTCTCTATTTTATAGGTACCCAAATCTAGATACACTTGAAGAAGCAACCATTACCTGAAATGGGAACATTTTTCAAAATGCAGCCAGCCTTCCTCTACCCCCAACTTTATCATTTCCAGGAGGCACCCTCACTATAAACTCAAGTTTCAACACACGTAAGTACGTGTCATGTTAACCCAGGGTGGAGGCTGAATGTGAGACATGAATTCTGATGCAAGCAGGAAATGAATGGAAGGGCCACCAGAAGGTTGTAAAGTGAACAATGAAAGTTCAGCTGACAAAGCAGAAATCAATCTCAGTTAGAAAGCAGAAATAGCACCTCTGCTAATTGGAAAGGAACCCAGGCCAGGTGCGGTGGCTCAAGCCTGTAATCCCAGCACTTTGGGAGGCCGAGGCGGGTGGATCACCAGAGGTCAGGAGTTCCAGACCAGCCAGGCGAACATGGAGAAACCGTCTCTACTAAAAATACAAAAATGAGCTGGGCATGGTGGCAGGCATCTGTAATTACAGCTACTCGGGAGGCTGAGGCACAAGAATCTCTTGAACATGGGAGGCGGAGGTTGCACTGAGGCAAGATAGTGCCACAGCACTATAGCCTGGGTAACAGAGGGCGACTCTGTATCAAAAAAAAAAAAAAAAAAAAGGAGGGGGGAACCCAAAGGTAAGTGCAACTTTAAATAAAAAACATCCAATATCTTGAACTGGCAGAGAAATGCTAGTATTTCATATTCTATTCTAAGAGTGAAGATAGTTAAGTCGTTACCTTCTTCTTTTATACAGTCTAGAAAGCAAACTACAACTCACAGAGAAAAAGCTTAGGAATTGGCAATTTAAAAAAGTTTTAAATGAATTCAAATGAGAATGTTTAATTTTTTTTTTTTTTAAAGAACTTCCAGATGCTCACTGCATGCTTCTCTCTTTATCTCTGATATCAGATGCTCACTCCAAATTGTTCCATCACAACAGATTTTAGTTACAGCTACTCAAAATAACACGCTGTCATAAAATAACTCCTTAATTAAAAGTGCTTTAGTTCAAAAGCCACATTTGATAAGTTTATTTGTTAACTAAAAATAAAATTGGTCTGCAAATCAGTAATTTGATGCAAATATCTGTGTGCCATAAAGTATATGTTTCACGTCCAGTTGAAAAGCACAGCTGCGGACAAAAGGCTTTCTCATGTTCAACTCAGTTTTATAAGCAATGTAGCAAAGACTTCAAAAGAGGTGGCCATTTACACAACAGTGTAATTGCTTCTAAAATTTCTAATTTTGCCATATCATTCAAGTTCCATATTTGGACATACACTCAAGACCTGTACTTCTTTTATAATCAGGTGGCTATTTTAAGTCTGTAGGCCAAGACAACACTCATGTTTGTCAAATTTAGAATGCACCTAGCAAACACAGCTTGCATTCATGAAACCCAGTGAATGCAGAAGAAATTCCTAATAGCCTGAATTATATACCAAGAAAGGGTACCTTCTGTCATAGGGTGATAATTATAATTTCTAAACTATGATTAATGTTTAAGTGAAATCTGAAAAGTTTTGTCTTAAGAGAGCTAGAGAGGGAGAAAAGGGAACAAATAAAAATGTCAGGAACTCCTCATCCCTTTTCTTTTTTTTCTTTTCTTTTCTTTCTTTCTTTCTTTCTTTCCTTTCTTCCTTTTTCTTCCTCTTTCTTCCTCTCTTTCTCTTTGTTTCTTTCTTTCTCTCTCTCTCTCTCTTTCTTTCTTTCCTTTCTCTCTTTCTCTCTTTCTTTCAGCCAGAGTCTCTGTCACCCAGGTTGGAATGCAGTGGCGCGCGATTTCGGCTCGTTGCAAGCTCCCCCGGGTTCACACCATTCTCCTGCCTCAGCCTCCCGAGTAGCTGGGACTACAGGTGCCTGCCACCACGCCTGGCTAATTTTTTTGTATTTTTAGTAGAGACAGGGTTTCACAGTGTTAGCCAGGATGGTCTCGATCTCCTGACCTCGTGATCCGCCCGCCTCAGCCACCCAAAGTGCTGGGATTACAGGCATGACCACCGCACCCGGCCCCCCCATCCCTTTTCTTTATCTATCACACGGAATACAGAGTCATTCTGATGTATGGCTAGCCATGGGCTCTGAAGCCGAGGCTGGGTTTGAACCCTGGCTTTTGACACACACTAGCTATGAGACCCTGGGCAAGTCACTTGATATGTCTAAATATCATTTTTTTTCTTCTGTAAAATAGATATACCACCGATATCACAAGGAGAATTAAATGAGACAACATGTGAAAGCAAGTAGTACAGAGCGTAGCCTGAAAATACATGCCAGTAGGTTCCCTTTCTTCCTTTGACCCAAGGCTTTTTTTTTTTCAGATGGAGTTTTGCTCTTGTTGCACAGGCTGGAGTGAAATGGCGCGATCTCAGCTCACCGCAACCTCTGTCTTCTGGGTTCAAGTGATTCTCCAGCCTCAGCCTCCCAAGTAGCTGGGATTATAGGTGCGTGCCACCATGCCTGGCTAATTTTGTATTTTTAGTAAAGATGGGGTTTCTCCATGTTGGTCAGGCTGGTCTCAAACTCCTGACATCAGGTGATCCACCCGCCTCAGCCTCCCAAAGAGTTGGGATTACAGGCGTAAGCCACTGCGCCTGGCCAACCCAAGGCTTTTAAACCAACCATAGAACCCACCAGTTAGTTTCTCTGAGCTTGGAAACGTTGACATATGCTATAAATTCTTGGCCCTACTCCTTTGGAGCTTGAAAGTATTCACACAAGTGGGAATTTCCATCCCCTATTTAGGGTCAGTTTTTAAGACCGTGATTCACCTAGTTCCTAATCACTCTCATTACCCAATCTAGCAACATCAAGTACTCCAACAAGGTCACCACACCCTCCTCAACGTTCAGACAGGCTCCAGTCCAGGCACCAGCCTCACCAGCAGACCATTTTAAACTTCTTTATGTAGGATTTGTTTCAGCATTGGATGAGACGATTAGATCAAAGTATCACCACTCCCCGTCCAAAATAGGAGTTTTCCAAAATGGTCCCTTCCTTTAACTGTGATTAACAGATGTACTCCAGAAGATCTCCGAATACTTTGTGGGAGAAAATAGCCATATAAGCTGGGTGCGGTGTCTCACACCCCAAATCCCAGCAGTTTGGGAGGTCGAGGTGGGAGGACAGCTTGAGCTCAGGAGCTCCAGACCAGCTTGGGCCACATATGGAGACCCTGTCTTTACAAAAAATGCAAAAAGAAAAAAAAAATTAGCCAAGTGCAGTGGCTCATGCCTGTAGTCCCAGCTACTCGGGAGGCTGAGGCAGGAGAATCGCTTGAACTCAGGAGGTGGAAGTTGCAGTGAGCCGAGATCACACCACCACACTCCAGCCTGGGTGACAGAGTGAGACTCTATCTCCAAAAATAAATAAATAAAAATAAATGAAAATTAGCCCAGCGTGGTGGCACATGCCAGTAGTCTCAGCTACTCAGGAGGCTGAGGTGGGAGGATCTCTTAAGCCCAGGAGGTCGAGGCTGCAGGACACACACACAAAAAAGGAAGACAGCAGCCACACAGTTACCCACTCCCTAACAGGACAAAAACACCTTCCTGACTGATGCCCCTCTTTTGTTTTCAGATACCTGAAAACCCAGGCCCTATGTAAAACCAAAAGACTAGATAAAATTGAGAAGAGAGGGCAGAACTAAGATAATCTCGGCAATTTAAGCTATGAGTTGACATAGACAGAAGGTTCCAAAGCTGCAAAACAGATGGCTTTATAATCAAAGATTCTAAGCTATAATTGATTAAGTGCCTCTCATGTTCCCAGCAGCGTTGTAAATACCGGGATGGGGCCAGAAACTTAAATAAGGCTAACACCATTCTGGTCTTCAAGTCTGGAGGGTTGGTGTTTGGGGAGAGTGGAGGAGGTAGAAAAGGAAAGGAAGACGGATATGCATAGAATGCCCAGAAGCAGTAATAATAGCTAATATTTATTGATCACCTACTCTGGGCCAGGAACTATTCTAAGCAATTTACGCAAATAAGCTCATTTCATCCTTAGCAAAACAGTAAGAATCTTTTTCTTGCAGATGAGGAAACAGGCACAGAGAAGCATCTTCCCAGGATCACCCAGCAAAAGTGGCGGTGCCAGGATTGGCATAAAAGATTCCAACAAGCGAATAAGAGCGCCGAGAAGGGAGAAATTTTGACTTGGGGGAAGGCGGTGCTCACGCAGGGGAATCTTAAAGAACTCGGGAGGTTTTTCTCGAGATCGGGAAGGTTCCCCAATAACTGAAGGATTGAGGGCTGCCCTAGAGAGCAGGCAAACATCCTATGGGCGCCTACTGTATGCAGGGATCGACTGTAGGCGCCAAAGAGATGAAAAGTCCCGCAGGTCGCTCGATTAGGGGAGATCCTTCTGCTTGACACAATTTTAAAGACGGTGACAAATGCCCCCAGCAGAGATGCAAGTAGGACCCTGGGAGCGCAGAAGGGGCCGTTAATTCGGTCATCGGAGGCGGCTAGGAGCTTGAACATCCTGAGAGAAGCTCCAGGGGATCCACGGAGAAAGGGGATCCCCGCCCCCTCAGGAGGCCCCGGCGGGGAGACCCGGCCGCGCCTCAGCCTCGGGGCCCCGCGGCCTAAGACCCCGTCTCACTGCCCCCGCGGGTCCAAGGCCGGCGCGAGGCCTGGACAACAGAGGCCGACAGGTTGAGACGCTCGCCCCTGCTAGCCGTTACCTGGGATCGGGGGAGTCCGGACGAGCTCGGAGCGGATGATTCGCGGACTCTGGGCAGTCGACGCGAACAGGCTCCGGCGGGCGCGGGCGGAGGACGGAAGCCCAGAGGGAGCGGCTGACAGATCCCGGAAGTGGCCACAGCGCCTGCGCGTTGCGGCCGCGCGGGCCGTCCGCGCATGCGCACAGCTCGGGCGTGCAGTCCGGGGCTAGGCAGGCTGTGGAGCAGGAGGATACGCTGTCCGATCGGCTTGGTACCGGCGGCGGCCCTTCAGAGGAAATGCGGCCCCATGGAACGCCTGGCAAGTGCTGGCGAAGCGGCATGGTCATCTCACTCCGTTCCTCAACTAATTTCCTCACAATCGCGAGCCGAAGTGTGGCGCCTTGGCAGTTTCGCAAGTTCTTTTGTCAGGAGATGAGTGATTGAGGATTGGGGGTCTTTGGAGCTCTTGGACCTGACGAACAATTGTTTTTCTCCCTTCAGAGAGCCAAGGTCAGAGTCAGTCGACCTCAGCGCTGCTCCCTGCAGGGAGCCTCCGCCCCCGCGGTGCTCCCTCAGTGGAAAACCCCTGAAGCCCCCGAGGAACATTCTCGACCCTTCCTGGGGCAGAATCACTTGTTCCCTGCTCCCAAGATGGCGCCTCAGGGAAAAAGGGTTGGGGGAACTTGGCAAGGTCCCCAATTCACAGAGGACAGAGCCTGTCCCGCAGATGCAGCTTCTGAGAAATGCCCTGATCCCCACCTGCAACCAGGCTGCTGCCCTTGAACCCGTAGAAATTCTGGAGCAGCCCCAGCCCCCTCAGATGGGGCTACTCGAGAGCTTTTCTTTTTTCTTTCTTTTTCTCTTTTTTTAAACAGGTTCTCGATCTGTAGCCCAGGCTGGAGTGCAGTGGCGCGATCATAGCTCACTGCAGCCTGGAACTCCTGGGCTCAAGCGATCCTCCCGCCTCAGCACCCCATGTAGCTGGGACTACAAGTGCACACCACCACGCCTGGCTAATTTTTATTTTTTAGTAGAGACAGGGTCTTGCTGTGTTGCTCAGGCTGGTCTTGAACTCCTGGGCTCAAGCTGTCCTTCCTCTTTGGCCTCTCAAAGCCCTCGGATTACAAGTGTGAGCCACTGTGCCTGGCTCATTTTTATATTTTTTGTAGAGATGAGGTTTCCCTATGTTGTCCAGGCCGGTCTTGAGCCCCTGGGCTCAAGCAGTCCTCCATCCTCTGCTTCCCAAAGCGCTCAGTGTGAGCCCCCCTCCCCCCCCACCCCGTGCCAGGCCAACCAAGGGCTTGTCTCCTTCCCTTTGGTATTTACAAGTTTTATCCCAATGCTTGGTTGTAAGTTGAGGTTTACATAGGTGTACTTGTCAAACTCTCAATTTCAGACCCGCTATGTTCTTTTTGAGACGGAGTGTTGCTCTGTCGCTCAGGCTGGAGTACAGTGGCGCCATCTCGGCTCACTGTAACCTGTGCCTCCCGGGTTCAAGTGATTCTCCTACCTTAACCTCCTGAGTAGCTGGGACTACAGCCGCGCGCCACCATGCCTGGCTAATTTTTGTATTTTTAGTAGAGACGGGGTTTCACAATGTTGGCCATGCTAGTGTTAAACTCCTGACTTCAGGTGATCCCACCTGCCTCAGCCTCCCCACGGTGCCCCACCAGACCCGCTATGTTCTTTGGAGTTAGTGCAGAGGTCCCCAACCTCCTGGCTGCTAACGGGTACTGGTCTGTTGCCTTTTAGGAACCCATTGGCACATGAGGTGAGCAGGACGAGCCAATGAAGTGTCATCTGTATTTACAGCTGCTCCCCATCTCTCGCATTACCGCCTGAGCTCTGCCTCCTGTTGCATCAGTGGGGGCATTAGATTCTCATAGGAAAGTGAACCCTATTGTGAACTGCATATGTGAGGGATCTAGGTTGCATGCTGGTATAAGAATCTAATGCCTGATGATCTAAAACCATCCCACCCCTCTCCCCCTGCCCCTGCCCTCTAGTCCGTGGAAAAATTGTCTTTCATGAAACTGATCCCTGGTGCCAAAAAGATTGGGGACCACTGAGTTAGTGAATCCAGCTGTTAATGGAGCACTCTCTGCACTGAAAGTCACTAATTTTAACTCTGCTCCATGGTTACAAAGTCTTTGGTCATAGGGTAATCGAGCAGATGGAGCATGAAGACCATTGTAAATTCCTTACCGCCTCCAAGAGACAGCTTGGGAAAGGGAGGACAGCAGTTTTGGAAAGCAGGGATTCTTGTGTGTCTGCAAGTTACATGAATCAATTCCCAAGTATGTAGAGGAGTTTATGAAGGTCCCACCTCTTTACAAGGAACACTTACTGCTTTGATGGAATTTATAATCTGGATAGACGAGAGTGACAAATGCAAATTAATACCAGACTTTATGATAAGTGACAAGAAATGTTAGACCCAGAAAAATAACAGACATTTACTCTTAGTCACTAGTTCTGATTTGAAATAGTATTTTACAGTTTAGCCTAACCAAATCTTACCATCTGATGCATTTCACTTCTTTTTTTTTTTTTTTTGAGATGGAGTCATGCTCTGTCACCCAGGCTGGAGTGCAATGGCGTGATCTCAGCTCACTGCAACCTCTGCCTCCCAGATTCAAGCGATTCTCCTGCCTCTGGCTCCTGAGTAGCTGGGATTATAGGCGCACACCACCACACCCAGCTAATTTTTGATTTTTAGTAGAGACAGTGTTTCACCATGTTGGTCAGGCTGGTCTTGAACTCCTGACCTTGTAATCCGTCTGCCTCGGCCTCCCAAAGTGTTGGGATTACAGGGGTGAGCCACCACACCCAGCCCACTTGATATTTTATGAGTCATTCCAGATGGTAGAATCTCAGCTCTAAGCGGGGCTCTTAAAGTTAAACCACCTATTCTGTAACTGAAGAAAAAGGACCAGCATATTTTGACACTTGAGGGTTTTTTTTATTTTGTTTTGTTTTGAGACGGTGTCTTGCTCTGTCGCCCAGGCTGGAGTGCAGTGGCGTGATCTCAGCTCACTGCAACCTCCACTTCCCTGGTTCAAGCGGTTCTCATGCCTCGGCCTCCGGAGTAGCTGGGATTACAGGCGTGTGCCACCACACCTAGCTAATTACTGTATTTTTAGTAAAGATGGGATTTTGCCATGTTGGCCGGGCTGATTTTGAACTCTTGGCCTCAAGTGATCCACACACCTTGGCCTCCCAAAGTGCTGGGATTACAAGCATGAGCCACCACACCTGGCCTGAAACCTGAGGGTTTTGATACAAGGAAGGGTTGCAGGACTGGCCACCTGCTCTGGCCTTACCTGTTTACCATCATGCCCTGCTATAAAAGCCAACCATCAGGGTTCTAAGGAGGGTGAGTTACTTTTAGTGTTTATTTTTAAGGCACGTGTGATGTAGTATCCAAAATGCAGACTCAACCTTTTAAAAAATTAGTATCATGGGTGAGGGGCGGCTGTCTGGGTGGCTTGTGAGTAAAAGGATTTACCAACACAGTTGTAGACAAAGGCAGATTTGTTAGAGAAAGCAGGAAGATACGAGAAGGCAACAGGCAGAATCAGCAGAAGAGCAGCCGACTGCAAAGAAAGGCTTGCTGGGGATTTTATGGAATAGTGTTTATGCTGTAATCGTTGGGTGCAGGAAGATTGTGAGTTATTTGCAGAGGAGGGCTGTGTGTCTGGACCATGAAGAATGGCAGACTTGTAGTTTACTTGCTGCTTATTTGCTTTCCCCTGCTCCCACCATCCTGACTCTTTTTCCCTAATTAGACTTCATAATTAGTGCCAGGGAAGGTGGTACTTAGAAGTGGGCAATGGAAGGGAGGGGAGGGATTGGACACTACTGTGGGTGATTTTGTTGGCTTTGCTGATTGGATTGGAATTGGAATTGAGTTGAATTAGAATTTGGTCAAGATTCAAGTCATCAAATATTTAATAAATACCAAGTGCCAAGTATTGTGTTAATGAGTAGAGTAAGATCCTTCTGTTCTCAAATAATTTAGAGGTTAGGATATGACCAGGTCACAAATTATTTTATCTTATTTTATAGACCAGGGATGGCTGCTAAAATAATTTTAAATATGAGGAAATGCACAATACCCTGAACCTGGAAGGTCCTGGTTAACATTCCTTGAATGGAAGTGAGAATGAATGAAAGCAAACAATCTGGATGTCAAAGGACACAGAGGTTACTGCTAGTTGAGAATGGAAGGTGGGGCTTGTATAGACACATCAGGAATGTAATCCATCATAGTTTAGGAAGGTTACATGTTTGTAAAGGCGTAAGGATTTCCTTTTCAGGAGAGCTTGATTTAATAACTGGAATGTGGAGTTGGAGAGTAAGAAGATTGTTTCTTGCTTGTGCCAACAGCTGAAACGGTGAACAATTACTGCAGATCTGCCAATAATGTCTGCCATCTAGTCACCAAAAAGACTGTTGGGAATACTGAATCAATGCCAATAAAAGCTATAAACAAACAAAAGGACCAAACTATTAATGCGTATTCTGTGTTACTAGTTAACAATCATCCTTATGCTTTAGATATTGTCCCAATTGCTGGGCATGGTCCCGGTGGGGAAAGCTTCCTGTGGGAAGGATTCTGTACAGTTCAATACAGGTGAACTGAAAAATGCATGTGATTTTTTCCACTGTTCACTCAGCTCATTTCCATAGGACAGAGATGGGACCAGTCACGGGATGTCTAGGGGCATAGGGTAGTCTCAGGTGGTGTGTATGAATAGCATACTATCACAAATACCATACTTGTAAGACAAGCACACAAGCATACTTGGGAATTCCCTGTATTACTTACCTAATTTGATAAATGAAATCTGTAATCCACGTACCTGTAAATCTCCTCGAGGCCAGAGCCACTTAGACATTTTGTTTCCGACACATTTTTCCATGTTAGGCAAAGCTTAGATTATTTTAATAAAAAGGTAGTTTCATTCTGGAGCCATCTAGCACCCTCATCCACCAGTCATTTCGTTAGCATAGAGAGACACACTTATCACTCCGGAGATTCCAAAGGTCTTAAAAGCTCCTGTGTGAGGAACTGGGAGCTAAGACCAAATTCTATGACAAAAGATGTTTCAGTTACTGATGGACAAGTACGAGGTGTGTGGGAAGGGGCACAGAGCTTCCATATCCTCTCTGGGCGCACCACCCTCCCAGCACCACCACGTGTTCTCTAACCCAGATGCTCTCCAGACCTCATCATTTAAGGTTTTTATGGATGTTCTATAACGTAGGCATGATGATTAAATCACTGGCAATTGGTAATTGAAATAAATCTCCAGCTCCTCTCATCCCTGGAGGTTGA